ACGAATTAGTTTCTCACCGATTGCTACTCCTTCGTCGCTGGCATGATTTTCCAATGAATTGGGGCACTTAAAATCCACATGCCTTACATAGGAAGCGTAAGGTAAATTAACAATTTTGAAACCATTATTCGCCAGCCAGGAATACGGAGAACTGTTTGTTGCGTCCTCGCGAGTGACGGGAACCAAAGCAACATAGCGAGGCATAGATTTACGTTTGCTCATAAATAAACATATGGCGAGCGCGGCAACGCTTCCATAATGTGCGAAAGACCCTTTTCGATCCCAAAATGCGTCGCTCATCCGGATACACAAAATTGCATAGTTTACAGTAAACAATTTTTGTGAGCTCATTTTTGATTGGAAACCGAAAAACATCATGCCAGGATCTTGCAAGTTATTTACTCGATTAACTTGTTTGTTTAATGTTTTGACGTAAGTAATGATCAATTGCGCCTTTAGTAAGTTGACGTACCGGAAAAAACACAGAACAACTGTCTAGCATTTTAATGTCCTCTAAGCAGGTCGATTCGTACGGCTGACGATTTTCATTGGCATTGGCAAACACTACACTCATAACATCTCTATCATGAAACAATAATCCAGAAAGAAAAGCACTGCGTACAGTGTTTAAAGCAACTGTTAAGCGAGACGACTTCTTCGTATATAAATTGGCATCGACAATAAAGATTAAGGCTTCTCGGCTAGTATAAATAGCCTTTAAGTTGTCCTCGTCATCTTCAGATTCAGATATCGAGACTTCGAAGTCCGAATCCCGAGAAGACATTTCAAGATATTTGTTCTTGAAAGTTAAGAATTAACAATGGCCAAACTTTTTTCCTAAATAATTTAATATTTTTGTCCTCGAACGCCAAGTTCTTGTCAAAAAAAGAACTGGCCCTCGTCTTTGCAGAAATAAAAACAGATGTTTTTGTATGCAACATGTGGTCTTGGCAACAACAAAATACATAGGTCCTCGTCTTTGCAGAAATTAAAACAGATGTTTTTCGTTTATAGCGAAATTGTTCATGTTTTGCATTAGTATTGGTTATTTTTTTATAGAAGAATGCCTGTAAATGATATGACTTGATATGCAGATCTTGCAATGATTTATTATTGATTTATTGATAATTTAATGATGTTTGATCCCTCTCGTAATAGTTACTTAACTTCTAATAGCAAATGTATACGGTTTGATGCCGATTTCTTAATTATATACAGGTAAGAATGTGTCAAGCAAAATATTAAAAAAAAGAAAACAAGTAAGACTTGCAAGACTCCGTTTAACAGAATTCTGTTAACGGCATTACAGAGTCTGCAAAAAAATTTTAGTTTGTGTCTTTGATAGTTATTTTTAAATATAACTTTACACACTTCAGATAATATATCTTCATTTAAGGAGTGTGCAAAATAGTTTTAAACATTCAGTCTTGTTCGCATTATGATAAACACACACAAAACCTCGTCAAAGGGAAAAAACAAAATTTACTCACTTCTAATTTTGAGTGGGCATGGCCGATTGGTTCCGTTTTGGGCCTAAAGAGTAAAGTGTTTCGTAACATAAATGTGGAAAATTTCAGTCTTTTAACTTTAATAATTTCCAAGTAACGCGCAAAAATCCAAAAATTTTTGTTAAAAAAACTGAGTTGCGTTCAGTTTACGCTTAACTGCGCGCTTCCTCTCCGACCGATTTGGTCCATTTTTAATGCCAACAATGCGTGCATAAATTTCCAATGTTCCTACTAAATTTGAAGTCGATATTTAGGACAGTGCGAACAACACGCACCACACCGACGGACAGACAAAGCTCAGAATCAATTCAGAATTTCACGTTGATCAAGAATATATATATATATATATACTTTATAGGGTCTCTGAAGTTTCCTTTTAGATGTTACATACATTATGGGAAAAAACAAAATGAGTATACCCCCATCTTACAGTGATGGGTATAAATGTTGAAACTTATAAAAGGACAATGAATTAACGAGTAAACATCTTAAAGGCTTTAGAAATTTTCCTTGAACAGCACATCATCTCTTTTAGTTGTTTTAAAGTAAATAAGCGGTTTTTCATTGAAATCATTTACTTCATCTACGACATTATCAACTTTTACTCGACATAATGCGATATTTTGCTTTCCTTTGTACCTTATGACGCTTGCTTTGTTGGAACCTTCTGCTAAAGCTTGTTATCATCAATTCCCTGGTGAAGTCCCGCACTCATGCCTGCTGGCATATTCTCGGTAATCTTTCCATTTTTCTACTTTATTAGCTAGAAATTATTACGAGGAATTTGTACGCAGTTTGTTGTTTGTTGTTGTCGGAAGGATTGTGGTGCTCCTAAAGTGATAAAGCGTTAGCGAATTTTAATACAGGGGGCTCGCACCCTGTTCTTCTCTTGAACGAACAAAAACATCGCCAAAATGATGTGTTTTTAGTTCGCCTCACTTCTCTGCGTAACATGTAATGATACGAATTTGATGAATTTAATAATTAAAGATGAAATCATATGAGTATTAAACTATATTTTGTAGTTCTGTTGCTCTTTCATAGAAATGTAATGGGTTTCATTTAAAAGATCTAAGTTCTCTAAATGATTGTCTGTAGGGCACACATACATTTTATAGCGTTAGTGTAAAGGAGGAATATTCACTATTCGTAATACCAAAGAAGTAATATTAGTCTGGGGAAAAAGAAATCCATTATTTTTATATGAACTTCAGGACTTTATTTAACATGCTTCGGATTGTCCGATTTGGGTCAAATATGCACCGTTTTGTTGTATGATTTGTTGCCATTTTAAAGGTAACTTCAAAATGCCTCTCTCATAGAAGTCCTGGTCTCTATTTGCAAGAAACTCTAGTAGTCGATTTTCACAATCCTCCCTAGATTCCAATTTTTTATCATTAAAGAAATTTTGCAATGCAAGAAAAAGATGATAATCGCTTGGTGCCAAGTCCGGACTGTATGGCGAATGCATTAAAACTTCCCAACCAAGCTCCCGAAGTTTCTGGCGAGTCAGTGTAGATGTGTGTGGCCTCGTGTTGTCCTGGTGGAACATGACACCTCTCCTGTTGGACAATTCTGGCCGTTTCTAGTCAATCGCTATCTTCAAACGGTCCAGTTGTTGACAGTAGAGATCAGAATTTAGCGTTTGGCCATATGGAAGCAACTCATAACAAATAATCCTCTTCCAGTCCCACCAAATGCATAGCAAAACCTTCCTGGCCGTTTGAGGTGCTTCACCGCTCTTTGACCAGGATCGTTTTCGCACAGGGTTATCGTATGTGATCCATTTCTCATTTCCAGTCACCATCCGTTTAAGAAATGGGTCCATCTCATTCCGTTTGGCCAAGGTTTCGCAGATGGAAATTTGATCCATCATGTTTTTTTTCTGTTAATTGGTGTGGCACCCAAACATCGAGCTTCGTTTTGAATCCAGCTTTGTGTAAATGGTTTAAAACTGTTTTATGGTCGATTTTTAGCTCCTGGGCGATGTTACGACTGCTAACATGCCGGTCAACTTCGATCATTTCTCCGATTTTATCGACATTTTCGAATCTACGAAACCAAAATTGCACATAATTGGCTGTTACAGTATCGGAACCAGCCATCTACCGAAAAAATAATGGATTTCTTTTTCCCCAAACTAATATATGTCGCGAGCCATCGAGTCGTCTCGAACTAGAATGGTAACTGGATGCGATCGCGTTTGGTGAGTAAACAGCATGGACTAGAATTTCCCAGTTGAGTGATTTCAACATTTCGTAAAACGGTTTTGCGGTATGGATAAAAAAGTGCTTTTTTGCTGTGGTTTTTTTTTTTTTTTGATATCTTTGTTGGTGGTAGCCCACACCTTTCTCGCCTCTACCAAAGACAGAGTATCGTCTTCTTGCTATAGAAAGTTTTGAGATAGTTTATCGAAATTTGCTTTTGTTTGAACATTTTTGAATATAAATTATTGAAATCGCCACATAAGGCCTTTTGTAATTTTAAAGATAGCTGTACAACAATTACTAGGTAATAGTATATCGCCATACTAAATTGAAGTGAAAAATTTGGATCGGATGGCCGGACCTTTTGGGGGGCGTCTTATACATGAGGATATCAATTAATTTTTTTAATATTCATAATGAGAATTCGTTCACAATCTGAGACAAAAATCAAGTGCACTAAATTTGAACCTTTTTGTGCCCCACCGCGTAGGGATTCTCATCTAGAGTAAGCACTCACACAACAACAGGATTTATTTATTAATATTTTGTGATGAAATTCAGTGCCTAACAGTGATTTGACATAGAAATTAAAGGTTGGACCACGTAGATCTATTTTTCGGGCGCCAAAATGTAATAGAATTCTCTTCAAAATTAAGCTTTTGTATGGTAATTTATCTCAATGTCTGTCTTTGTTTTAGTCTTTATGATAAAAGTACTTGCATAGTAAAAAAGTCAATGACACGAAAATTAATTTTGCTAAATTTGGATCACATCGATCAACATTCTGCACGCTCCATAGGCCATATCAAAACAAGTGAAAACATTATGACGGCCCACGGTTCAATCTAAATTTGGTCATATAACAGCTTTTCAAAGTGATCCGAAAAATGGTCCGATCGGAACCATTTTCAAAAGCCTTTGACCTTACATCGAATTTCATCAAAATAGTTCCAAAATTACGCGGTGCAAATTGAACACAAGAAGACAAGACAGGAAAACGAACAGATGGATGGACGGACAGGCAAGCTTAGATAAAATTCAGAGAGTGATTCTGAATCCGATTTTGAACTTAATAGGACTTTGTACCACAACTTTTGTAGGGCATGATAAATAAAGAATTTTCTTTGTTAGCCCTTATCCGACTAAAATTTTTTTTGTTCGGTTTTTTAATGCAACTGTTTCTATTATGTGCAGGAGAAAGGTATTGAACACTTTATATCTCCTGCTCACCATTTATTTCTTTATCGTTCTATTATTATTTTTTGTTTTCCTTTTTTTCTTCCAGGCATTTGATATTTTAATAGTTAATAAAGATTTCAAAGCTGAATCTGCTGACTCTGTGACGCTTTCACGTGGTGATATAGTTGAAGTGCTAAAAACTTCGCAAGAAGAAACTAAAAAGTAAGTGTCTCTATGTACAATTAGAGGACAACATGTCAAATTCTTTTTTAATGAATCCTTTCTTGTGTTCATTGAAGAAACGTTAACGAAGCCGATTCCACAACTAAATATTTGGTAAGAGTTTTTGGTAGCGATTCTCTTAAACAAGGATGGGTCCCGAAAGATATACTGGAAACGAGTGATTTCAGTACCGTACTTGATGGCAATGACAAAGAGACCGCTGAGTTACAAAAAAAGTATGGATAACTTTCTCTCACTTTCTCATCATTCTTATCATTGTTCCTTTGTCATAGAGCCGTTATACGCGAGCTGATAGAAACCGAAGAGGAATTCAGCAAAGATTTGCAACATGTAGTCGATCGCTATATTAAAGCTGTTGATGCCGCCACCGCTCCACGGACCGTACGCGATAGTAAAGATGTAATATTTGGTAATTTCCAACAAATCGCTGAATTCCATAACATGTAAGTTAAGGTAGTAAGCCAACAGCAGTAAGCGTAGTAATAAGGACCCATTTTACCATGGCAAGATATTAATAATATTGGTGCGCTAGAAGGGAAATCCGACACAGAACTTAAAGTACGTCATTGATTCGTGGGACTCGGAGTGTATTTAAGCATTTCCGCCTGTTCCGTTTTACCGCACATTGTCTGAAGGGTGACGGGTAATATAAAACAGAATATGCTGAATATTCTACAGTGATGATTATACAAAATTCGCCTTAAAGCTAACAGGCTAAAGCTAAGCTGCATTACTTGGTCCGGATTTGACAATCCTATTTCTTTTTTAACTGATCATACCCTGCATCACTGATAGTATGAGGTATGTTGTGTTTGCGTGAACGAACGGCTTGAGATAGACTCATCGTTTCCATCGTACATCTATCGATCTCCTAAGTCTATCTGTCCCTCTGTCCGTCTGTCCGTCTGTCCGTTGTGGTATACAAAACCTATCCAATGTATTTTGTTGTTGTTCTTGTCGTAATTTTCCAACATATTTTAATGGAATGCTTTAGCCGTTTAGTAGATTCTATTCAAGCACTTCTACTACGCCCACATTACTGCTTCCCATAAAACACATATATTTTCAAAAAGTTTTAAAAATTTTAAATTTAAAAAATATCAATTCGTTTTATTAAAACTTTTCTCCTTTCCAGGGTTTTCATTGATGGTGTAAAATATTACGCTGATAAGCCGAGTATGGTGGTTAAGACATTTTTACGTTTGGAAAGAGATTTTGATATGCATGTGAAATACTGCAAAACCGAACCAGTTGCCCAAGAATACTTGTCCTCTAATAAGGAGGCGTATACATTTTTCCAGGTAATTCCCTCTTTTCTTTTTTTTGGTTTTTGCGCAAAAGATCTGTTGGCCAACCGTTTACCGCCCATAATAAGTTGAGGGTTTTACTCGTCAGTCTATTGATTTGTTTCAAACTGTCTTATGAAGTGAACAACCGCGACATATATATTATAGTATTTGCAACTTTTAATTGAACGCTCCATTTATTACACTAACCATAATCCCTAAAGTGATGAGAAAGCGTTCACATGGGTTTTAGTTGATCTATCCTCAAGATTGTCATTCATTTTTGTAGATTATTCAGTAGAGTCTAAACGTAAATTTGATGCAAGTTCGAAATATTGGTTCAGTTAGTTTAAGTTACACATTGCATGTCGCGTAGCGAAATAGTTAAAAAGCGCGATTATCAAGTTAGAGGTGCCGAGTTCAATTTAATTCCCAGTACGGTAGACCATACTTTAATTATGATTGATCAGTTGTCATAGTGAGTGCGATGCGGTGCACTATTCGACAAGTAGAGCTATAGCAATTACCGATTTGGTTAACCTAGTCCAGACTGCGGCCACTTCCTACCTATCTATATGATCTTATAGGTCACCTTAAAAGGCTTTGCGGTTTTTTACGCGATTTCCAGTTCCATTTTGTAGCCTGCCCTTTTTAAATGATACTAAACTGTCAGGGGGTTGATGTCTAGTGGCTTTCCTATTTCTGACAGCTTACTTACTGGTGTTATTCCACAAGTAGCAAAATTTCATCGACTTCGTCGACTGGAGCGAGGTGCATCTTTGGCATCGAAAGTTTCGGAACAGAATCAAGCATGCCGCTGTTGAGTCCTTCGTTTACTTACAGCACTGTGCACTTTGCACGATTAAAGAATTAGAAAACTATCTGCACAAAAAATGCAAGCCGAAATGTCACTTTTTAAGCACCTGTTCGTTTAAGACAATCTGGTGACTGTCGCCCGGTATATAGGCATTAACGCCATCCCGCGGAAAAACCGCAAAGGCTTTTTATATGACCTAACATATATATTCTCTCTATCTACGAATTGTCTAAATTACCCACACGTGTAGGTGAGTACGTAAGAATCGTGACTACCTAGCTAGCAATTGCGGCTTCAAACCTCAGCGCCGAAGAGTTTACGTTGATCGAAGTTCTAGTGAATGTTCACAACGACCGCACACCCACTAGGCTGCGACCATTTTCCTGTCTCCTTTTTTTCCTTCGCTTCTTTTTAAACCTGACCTTGCCACACGTACATGGGACGTCCTCTAAGTGATTGCTCATGTATAACACACATATATTTTTATTTGGAGCTTCGTCTATACGGCTTTCGTATACTAGAACTCTTAACACGGGCAGCTTTTAAAATCTTCCAAATCATCTCAATTTCCCGAGCGCTGTATTGCTCAAGATCGGTACAAAGCATGCAAAGAGTTAATAACGTGTCTTCGATTTTTTCGACTTCCACGATTTTAATAATTAGCTACGAGATATTGCAGACAAAGTTGTTTCAAATTTTCAAAAATTAGTTTTCATTTTTGTTTAAGTTGAAAATGGCCGGAATGGCTGTAAGGACAAATTCTTAATAGATTAGACACATTCTTGTTAGCGTAAGCATGAGCGTTCAAGTTGTTTTAGCCATTTGCGTCAGTCGTTTCCTTTCTCTATCAATCCACTTACTTATGAAGTGACGAAAAGTAGATTTGTGTACAGTCAGTCATAGTGATTGTCAAAGATCATCACAATCGCAGGCTATTTTGTTTTCTTTTTAATCGATTAATATCACAAATATATATTAGTCTGTCATTCTTGAAAAAGTTTAGATCAGGAAAAGCGGACGAATAGACTTAATGTCGAGACGTAAAGCAAAGGAAAAGCTTAAAGAATAGAAAAGGAAAACGCTACAAGATTTTCATAGATCTTCTCTAGATGATGGGTATCTAAGATTCATTTTGAAGCGAATAAATGTCTTTCTCACTTATTTAAAGGTTTATTTTGTTTTTATAAAAATTTTTCATTATTTTTAATTTTCATTCTATATTTAGCGTAATATCTATTCTTACGCTGTGAAATATTGTGAATGAAATGAATTTTAATAATAATTGCAACCATCTGGATGGAAACGTTTGGCAAAATAAAAAAAATAGTTTTTTAAGTCTTAACAAGAAGAAGAAGAAGATAAAGAAAAATAAAAGGTGGCGGGAGAGACAACTACGGGCTTTTTTACTGGCCTTATATACGGCTCGAAGTGAATTCTGATCATCCAAGGACACTTCCGTGCCAGAATAGGTCTGAACGACTAAGAAATATTTTACTCGAAAAAGTTTCAGGAAAAAAAAATCAACCGAATTGACGAAAGCAGATCCTCGACAAAATTCAATACACTTATGTGTGATCTTGCTTTGATGGTTTTTATACTTGTTGCATTGGAATAGAACAGCTGTGCTTTTCAGGATCAATCAAAATGCCCGTAAGCAGGCGCTCGAGTCAAGATTTTTATCTATTTTTTTTTGCGATCTTTTTGATGCACTGATGGGTTTTGACTCACGGACGAACACTAGTGAAAATATATCGGATTGGGTCACTTTTCCGATCACTCTATAACACTTCGGTTGGCGCAATGAATCATTTATTATACCCTATATTACTTGTGGTACAAGGAATGTTAAGTTTATGCAAATGTATGCAACACGCAGAAGAACAGACACCTTTTAATATACCGATCTACAGCTTGTCTGTCCGTCTGTCATTCCGTCTTGCTTTCTTCTAATCAACCTGCAGGCGAAATTTTTGACATATTTTGATGGAAAATGTTTGCAAACTGTTGAACAAATTTATACATGACTCTGGCACGTGACATCGTTATCTCTTACAACTTAAATAGTTCAGCTTCAGAGAACACAAAGAATGAAAAAATATATTTAAAAGTAGTATTATCCACACATATATAAAAAGGTGACAAAGCTTCGTAGTCGTTGCTTATAAGGTAATTGTGGATCGCTTTAAAATAATATATTTAAAAATCGTCTAAACTTTGCAGACCAATTACACGGACTAAGGTGAACAAGCTTGTGCAAAAAAAACTTTTAATTTAATTGTTGAACTCCGTTAAATGGAAGCTTTGGAAAGAGAAAGTAAAGAGACTATAGTAGGACATGTACAACCATTAAATTCCTTATACCACCCTATAGTTATTTATATAAGATAATTTCAAAATAAGGCGTCATATGGGCAATGGTCCAGGAAGTAGCCCCATCCGAAACACTTCCAATAGCGTGGGCCATCGATGGACCAAAATAGGTCTTTAAGAAAGGCGGTTAGACGGATAACCCGACGGGCGGACAGACGGACTAACGCAGAGATGGATGAACAGACAGGCGGTCACGCGGACAGATAGTCTTAGATGAATTCAAAAAGTGATTCTGAATCAATCCTAATAGGAAAAAAAGGGTTTTTCCCAAATTCTTCTGTATATTGCTTGCATCCATATAAAGTGATGTACGGTGCAAAATTACTCATCCTATAAACACAACTAGATACATATACTTTACGGAGTTTTATAGCACACATAAGCACTTTTCGAGCATATTTTTGGGAGGTTCTCAAAGCAAAAGGATAAAATTAATATATCTCTTATGTATTGAATAACAGGCATAAATAAACATGAAAATCTTTTTATCTTGATATGAAAATGAATTTAATTTCATAATTTCGACAACATATTCAACTACCTCTCTAGTTGGCATATTATCGATGAATTAATGAATGAAAAGTTCAAGTTCATTAGCTAAGCATCGAGCATCTATTGTATTTTTTAGAATATAATCGTTTCTTTAGTTCTATCGATAAATTGACCTACAATTCGAATGATTTTATAAACAGCATAACAGAAATTTCTTGTGCGTGTCTGTTTTTGTTTAATGCAATGTTTCTATTGCTGTCTTAAGAGGTATTGCGGCGAACATTTGCGAAATGATGATGACTTTTGTTTTCTTAAAGTGAATTTTGCAATGAAAGCTTTCCGTTTATTTACTGCCTGTAGAGAACATGCTGTAAAGGGAAGAAAAACAAAAAAAAAAAACGCATACATATATACACAGACACACATACATACATACAACAGTTAAGTGTTCAATTGCTTAGGAAGAGACATTTACATTTGCTGTCTACTAGCAAGTTTAGTAATAACAAAAGTTGCATGAAAATGGCAAAGGGATCTATAGTATAATGTAAAATAACGATCTACCACAATTGCAAGCACTCATGCTTGTTACAGGAAACTTTTTTTTGTAGTTATGTTAAAGAAAGTTTTCGTAATCTCAAAAGCTTTAAAGCGGCTGTAATTCAAAAAATTTGAGAAATGGCATAAAATTAAAAAAAAAAAAAAAAATATTAAATTTAATTAAAATAAGATAAATTTTTTTAATTACCTTTTTTTATTCATTAGTTCATTAATAATATTAATTATTGCATCTTGTAAATATTTAAAAGCGGAAAATATATTCATATGCTTGCAAATTGTCAAATTGTTGTTTTTAAATTTGCTATTAAATTAAATTTTTCTGAAAATACAAAAAAAAGCAAAAAAAAAAAAACAAAACAAAAATGAAAATGTAAAAAAAAGAAAAACATATAAATTTTTATAAAATAGAGCGAAAGTGCGACCACACATGAAATTCATTTAAATTTAGATTTCCACCGAAAATCTGAAGCTTTTTCAAAGTTCTAACATTTTAGTCACTCTTTAGACGTTCTAGTGTACGTGTCGCGCTAAAATATTGTATGTGTGTGCGGATCGATAAAATAAAGAAAAAAGTTTCGACTATATATATATGTCCATCTGTACCGACAAACGTATATATCTCTATATATCTCTAACCATCTGTACACTCAAAACTTCCATATCTCAATTAATATCTATAACTCGGGACCTTATATATATACATGCATATATATATCTATATATGAATATATATATATATATATATATATTTATTACAAATATATATACATATATA